TCCTGTGCCATCCTCACAATCTTTAGACATACTTGAGACTATTGCTACAATCACTGTCAATCCATCTCATTGAGGCACTTTCTCTCTTTTTCCCCACCTCACCCTTTCCAAGCATGATGTCCCTCTCCAACGAATGGCCTCTCCTAAGAACATGCCCAAAGTATATAACATGAAGCTTTATTATTTTTGCCTCCAAGCAGCACTCTGCCTTCACCTTCTCCAGGAAATATGTTTGTCCTTTTGGCAGTCCATGAGATATTTAATGCTCTTCTCCAACACTGCAGCTCAAAGACATCAGTTCTTCTTCTGTCATTCTTATTGATTGTCCAGCTCTCAGATGCATAGCAAAGAATTGAAAAGACCATGGTCTTAATCAGATGCATCTTGTTGTTATTATGTGTTGTTGAGTTGCTTATGACTCATAGCAACCCTATGTACAACAGCCCTAAACTCTGCTCTGTCCTGTGCCAATCACACTGTCTCTGATACACCCATGCCGATTACCCCAGTCACTGAATCAATCCACCTCATAGAGGGCCTTCCTCTCATGTGCTGTCCCTCCACCCTACCAAGCATGATGTCCCTCTCCAAGGACCAGTCCCTCCTCCTTACAACATGTCCAAAGTATGTTAGACGGAGCCTCAGAATTCTTACCTCCAAGGAGCAGCCCAGTTTAACCCTCTCCAGGATGAATCTGTTTGTTTTCTTAGCAGTCCATGGTACCCTCAGTATTCTTCTCTAGCACCAGAGATTAAAGGAATCAGTGCTCCTTCTATCCTCCTTAGTCATTGTCCAACTCTCTGATGCATAACAAGTGATTGCAAAGACCACGGCCTGTATCAGATGCACTTTAGTCTCCAGAGAGACACCATTACTCTTCAGTACTTTGGAGAGGTCTCTAACAGCAGACTTTCTCATGGCAATACGTCTTTTAATTTTCTGGCTACTGGTGCCAAGAGTGTTGACTGTGGAGCCAAGCAAACTAAAGCTGTGAACAATATCAATCTCTTCACCATCCATCCTGATGCTGCCAACTGGTCCAGTGGTGAGAATCTTTGTCTTCTTGACATTGAACCTCAATCTGTATTGGAGGCTTCAGTCCTTGACCCTCTGCAGGAAGCGCTTCAGGTCCTCCTCAGTTTCAGCAAGCAGGATTATGTCATCTGCATAACGAAGATTGTTGATAGATCTTCTACCAATCCTGATCCCACATTTTTCCTCATAGAGCCCAGCCTCCCGTATAATCTGTTCTGCATACAGGTTGAAAAGGTATGAAGACAGGACACATCCCTGACATTCGCCCTTCCCAATTTTGAACCATGCAGTGTTTCCTTGCTCTGTTCTGATGACTGCCTCTTGGTCCAGGTATAAGTTTCGCATTAGCACGATCAAAGGCAGGGACAACACTGATACAAATGGTTAACTCCACAATAAGGGATATATCTTTCACTTTTTCTGTAAAATGCTGGTCTGTCTGATACTTTTCTAAATCTGAGCATTCAGATTAAGACAGATCAGGAAGAAGGATTGGCCATCCACTTCTGAAATAGCAGGCCTCTGAAAACCCCATGTACAAAGCTATGTAAGAAGCACCTTAGTCCTCAAATAGACATCATTGCTCCTCAATAATTTAGATAGGTTCCCTGACTGCAAGTTTTCTCAGTGCAATATGTCTGCTAGTACCAGGTGTTGAGTGTGGATCCAAGCAAGATGAAGTCTGTGACAGTTTCAGTCTTTTTCTCCATCTATCATGATATTGCCTAGGGTCAAGAAGGGAAAAATTTTGTTTTCTTAGTGTTGAGATGTGATCCATACTCAAGGCTGTATTCTTTGATCTTCTATTCTTTGATCTTCTGCACCAAGTGTTTTAGGTTCTCCTCACTTTGACCAGACAAGGTCATGTGATCTACATAATGTAAGTTATTGATGAGTCTTCCTCTGATCCTGATGCCACATTCATCTAATGAAGAGTCCAGCTTCTTGAATAATTTGCACAGCATATAGATTAAATAGGTATAGAGGGAGGATACAACCCTTATGCACACCTTCCTTAATTTTAAACCGTGTAGTGTTCCCTTGGTCTATTGGCACAGCAGCCTCTTGGTCTAGGTGTTAGTTTCCTAGGAGCACAATTAAGTGTTCTGGGATTCCCATTCTTGTCAATATTAGTTATAATGTGTTTTAATCTACACAGTCAAATGCCTTTGCACAGTCAATAAAGTACAAATACACATTCTTCTGATGTTACTTGCTTTCATCCAGGATCTACCTGACATCAGCAGTGATAACCTGGTTGACATGGCCTCTTCTAAATCCTGTTTGAACTTCTGGAAGCTCTCTGTCTATGCACTCTTCTAGCCTTTTAATTATCTTCAGCAGTATTTTCTTTGTTTGTGATATTAATGATATTGTTTGAGAATTTCCACATTCTGTTGGATAACCTTTCTTGGGAATGAGAATAAATATGGAACCTGACTTGACTGGTGAGCTCATTCAGGGCTGCATTTGTTAACTGAAATAAGTTAATTGGTATCCCATCAATTCTTGGGTACTTACTTTTTGCCACTGCCTTCAGTGCAGCTTGAACATCTTACTTAATATCATTGGCCCTTGATCATATGGTACTTCTTGTAATATTTCAGTGTCAGTCAGTTTTTTGGTACAGTGAATTTGTATATTCCCTCCATCTTCTTTTAATACTTCCTGGGTCCTTCAAGATTTCCCCATAGCATCTTGCAGTGTTGCCGCAACTAGAGGCTTAAATTTGTTATTAATTTCTCTCTACTTGAGAAATGCTAAGTGATTTATTTCCTTTTTATTCTCCAATTCCAGACCTTTGGACATTCTCTTGTAATATTTTGCTTTTTGTTTTCTTCGAACTGCACTTTGAAATCTTCTGTTCAGCTCTTTCACTTCGGCATCTTTTCCTTTTGTTTTGGCTTCTATAGAGAAATTTGCAGGGTCTCTTCTGACATCCAATTTTTTTTTCTTTCTTCTCTATCTTTGTAGTGACCTTTTATTCTCTGCATGGATGATATCCTTGATATCATTTCACAACATGTCTGGTCTTTGATCATTGGAGTGCAATGCTTTACACCTGCTTTCAAGATGACTTTTAAATTCAGGTGGGATAGACTCAAGATCGTATTTTGGGTCTCAGGGACTTGTTTTCCTTTCTTTCAGCCTCAACTTGAACTCCCATAAGAGTGAGTAATTTATTGTCTATTCCACAGTCAGTACCTGGCCTGGTTTTGACTGCTGTTATTGAGCTTCTCCAAGGATTCCTTTTACAGATTTAGTAGATCTGATTTCTGTGCCATTTATCTGGTGAAGTCCATGTGTAAAGTCTCTGTTTGCGTGTTGTTTTTAAAGAAAGTATTTGTGATTAATAAATAATTGAATGTAAAAAATCTGATTTGTCTATATCTAGCCTCATTTCTGTCATCAACTCTGTACGTTCTGACGACCATTCCTTCTTCATTATTTCCCACTTTTTTATTCCAGTCATCAGTTCTCATTAGTGCATCTTGATTCCATACTTAGTCAATTTCAGACTGCAAAATTTGGTAAAAGTCTTCAGTTTCCTCCTCTTTGGTTTTAACTTGGTGTGTATATTTGAATAATATTCAGATTAGCTGGTCTTCCTTGTGTATTGATAACATCCTATCACTTGCAACATTGTACTTAAGTTACAACTTGATATTATCTTTTTAATTGTATGTACAACACTATTCTTCTTCTATTTTTTATTCCTGGCATACCTCTCCACCTCATCTCACCAATGTTGAGAATGTCCATGTTCAAATGCCCATTTCAAATTTCACAACTTTTAGTTTTCCAGCCTTCATACTTCATGCCTTGCATGTTTCAGCTGTTAAAGGAATTTTCCAACTGTTTCTCCTCATTTTGATTGATTTCCATTTGGGCTCTACTTCTAATACTTTATCGATGTTCCTCTATTGCTCATAACGTTTTCAGATGCCTCCTGTTTAAGAAGTAGATGACCAATCCTGCTTCCTAGTCTGTCTTAATCTGGGAGCTGTAGTAAAACCTATCTACTACCACCTATGACCCTTCCTTCATTTGACACACCAGTGATACAGCTTTCATCATCACAGCAACCTGCAGTTTTCCTCAGTACAGACAAATGCTGTTCTAGTGAGAACAATGATAAGGAAGCAAGAATATAGATACTTAAGCTATAAAGTAATTAGCAATAAGCAGATCATTCCTCTAATCCAAAGAGCTGACATATCAGTCCCATAGTTTAGGAGGCTCATCCCAGACTCTAGCTCTAGGGGAAAGCTTTCTCTGGAAGTTCTGGAGGAAGATCCTTGTCTCTGAGTTTCTGCTCCTGAACTGTCTTCTTTTGGCTTAGTGTCTCTGCTCTAACAGTGAATCAGGCATACGACAATCATGGTGCACGGTGCATCTGAAACCAGCGGCTGCATGAGAGGATAGAGCCCTGGGTGGGTGCTCGAGCCTTCCAGCTTAGGTGCACGGCTGGCATAGCAGGATAATGTCCCAGATGAGGGCAGAATTTTGGTGGATACTCAGTGCCACAGATTACAAGTTCTAAACCCTAAAGCCAAGAGAGCCTGGTTGATGTTGAAGGGGAGGTGGGGTCAAAAATGCTTCCTTGAGATTAAGTTTTGGTATTTTCAAAGTTAAGGAGCTCTGGTAGCCTAGTGGTAAGAAGTTGTGCTACAGTACCAAAAGCACATGGTTCAAATCCACCGACTGCCAGCTGTTCCATGGGAGAGGATGGGCAATCTCCTCCTGTGTCATTTACTGCCTCTCAAAACCCTTTGGAGAGTCAGCTATGGGTCAGTTCTGACTCAACGATGCACAACAGCAACAATAATAATCTCAAAGTATAGTCAGAAGGACTTTGGAAAAAATGAGAGGAGTGTAGTGGAAAGAATGTAATTTAGAAATTATCATTTCAGTAGACAGTTTTTCTAAAATAGAAAAAAATGTTCTTTTTTTTTTTTTTTCAGCTCCTGGGCCCACAACAGCAGTGTCCTATATGTCAGTGAAATGTGTGGATACCCATAAAAACCATCACAAGACAAAATGGCTAATGCCTTGGGGAGCCAACCAGTGTGACAAGATCCGAGACTTCAATGAAGCAATTACAAAGGAAATCCAAGCCAATGACATTGTTTTTTCTGTGCACATTCCCCTCCCTTCCATGGAGATGAGTCCTTGGTTCCAATTCATGCTGTTCATCCTCCAGCTGGATATTGCCTTCAGGCTGAACAATCAGATCCGTAAGTGCACAGTCCTCTCACCTCTTCTCTTGTCTTTGGGGATTTGCCATTTTGGGTCTTCTCAGAGCCAGCTGTAATGACAGTAAAAGTGGTCATACTAAGAGCTGACAATTATTGACTATTCGCTACTCACTAGGTACTTTTCTGCTGAACTTGCCTGTACTAACACACTTAATGTTCTGGAAATCCCCAGGGAATAGATCTCATTACTTTGTTTTCTATACCGGAAACTTGGGCATGAATGACGTTGCCCAAAGTCAGAAGGCTAGAGAGTAGAAATGTTAACCCTAAACCCTATCACCTCTTTAGTGAAATTGTAGGGGAATCTTTTATTTGGCAGACATCCCATTATGTTAATGTAATCATTCTTCAATCACAAAATAATGTTTTAGTGTTAACATGTTTTGAATTTGATTTTCCAGGAAGCTCATCTGAATGTTGAGATTTTGAGGGCTTCTGAAAGATTTCTTGTTCCATAAGGTCTCTTCCCACTAGGCTTTGAACAAGGCTGTCACATTTAAAGAAGACCCTTTCAACCTCTTTCCCCTCCTGGGTATCTATCAGTTTCCCCTCCTGGGTATCTTTCAGTGTTGTAGATTGACTGGCAGGTCCTCTGCACATGGGCTGGGAGTTGCCACAGAAGAGGGAAGCTCAGAGCAGAGGTATGTCTGGACACAAAATCTCAGATGTGTGAAGAATGTGGAGCCCCTGTATCACTCCTTATTCCCGGAAAAGTAGCACTTCCACCAATAGTCTGGAAGAGCCTACCTGGTGTGTGTCATCTCAATTGCACCATCAACCATGGCTGAGATGGGAGATTGAAGGAGACTACCATGGCAACCAGTCAGAGATACTAGGAAGTGAAAACATAGAACTACATGCAAACCTAAATTTCTCAAACTGTAGAAAAAGTGTACCTAAAGGTCTCAGAATGAATTGGCTGACACAGAAGAATTTCATGAAATGACATATGAGCAAGAGCCTATTGTGATGAAGGAGGAAGTTCAAATTGCTCTACAGGAATTGGCAAAAAAACAAGGCTCCAGGAGTTGATGACATACCAATTGACATATTTCAACAAACAGACACTGCCCTGGATGTGCTCACTAAGTTAAGCCAGGAAATCTGGAGAACAGCCAGCTGGCCCACTGACTGGAAAAGATCAACATTTGTTCC